AGCTTCCGGATTTTCCCGGGACATGCTGCAAAATTGGACTCGGGACTGTTGGACTGGACGCTTCTGGACTTTTCTTGTCGGGTACCGGACGCACTCCTACTGACCTACGACAATTCGGTACCGACACCTACCGACCTACAACGCTTTGGTACCGACACCTACCAACCTACGACGCTTCGGCCTCTAGACCCTACGGCCCACCCTACGGGACAGCCTTGGGACTTGTTGGGACCTTGGGACCAGGACTGGCTGTCTGCAGCGCGAATCCTTTCACACCCCAAGTATAAAGAAAAACACAAAGCTTTGGTCAAATACATGGCGACATGCTCGTCTGATGGCGATGGGGAGAGAGTGATGATCATCTAAATGCACAGAGGGAGAGGCAGCAAATGTGGAAGCGGACTGGTAAGAACTACCATCTTCCCCTGAATAGAACATACGGTCATTATTGCTGCATCTAGACTGCATTTGCCCCAGATACAGCTGTAAGGACCGTAAGTTACGTAGTCGGGTGAAGATGGTAGTAAATGACCTTAGTAGAAGGGAATAGGACAACCTGGAAAAGAGAACAAGGAGGGTCATTAGGAAGGGGAAGGCGGGTGGATGTAGGAGCTCCTCCTCCTCCTCCTGGTCTACTGCAAAGGTCAGCAGCCAGAGGTAGATTTGTTTGAACCAGAATTGAGAATTGGGTGAGAAAAGAACGGTTCATACTAACTCAATAGTAACTTTTCACTACTTCAACAGCTGTCTCTTATACACATCTAGATGTGTATAAGAGACAGCATCTAGACTGCATTTGCCCCAGATACAGCTGTAAGGACCGTAAGTTACGTAGTCGGGTGAAGATGGTAGTAAATGACCTTAGTAGAAGGGAATAGGACAACCTGGAAAAGAGAACAAGGAGGGTCATTAGGAAGGGGAAGGCGGGTGGATGTAGGAGCTCCTCCTCCTCCTCCTGGTCTACTGCAAAGGTCAGCAGCCAGAGGTAGATTTGTTTGAACCAGAATTGAGAATTGGGTGAGAAAAGAACGGTTCATACTAACTCAATAGTAACTTTTCACTACTTCAACAGTTCAAGAGCCCCCACAAGCAAAGAAAAAGAAAACAAAAAACAGCAAATGAATTCAGTTCTCACGTACCTCTGCAAAGCGCGAACGAAGGTGCCCCCCCATATACGTTCGCGGAACATTCCTTCTGCACATTCACGCCCCTGCCAGAGTTCTAAGCCCCCCGTCACAATCCCTGGTACAAGTACCAGAGGATGATGTTTCCTCAGCCCTTCTCTTGCCAGTCGCTTCCCTGGACTCTCGGGAAGAGGAGAACCCTGTGCAAGCAACGAACAACCTTCCACACAGTAAATAAATAAACATCACTGTCGATTCATGTCAATTGTGTATAAATAAACATCACCCATTGATCACAGTAGACTCCAGTGATAGTAAATAAATAAACACCACCAACGCAATACAGTCAATACTGCAATACAATAGTAAACAAACACACATCACTGTCAAATAGTGTCTATCCACACACAGCGAATAAATAAACATCACCGTCAGTTCACAGATTACATAAGTAAACATCACCGTGAAAGGATTCACGCTGCAGACACACAGTCCCGGTCCCAGGGTCCCGACAAGTCCCAGTCCCAGGGCCTTCCCGTAGGATTGGCCATAGGGTTTAGAGGCCGGAGTGTTGTAGGTCAGTAGGTGTCGGTACCGAAGCGTCGTAGGTCGGTAGAAGTCCGTCCAGTACCCGACAAGAAAAGTCCAGAAGAGTCCAGTCCAGGCCGACAGTCCCAAGTCCAATTTGCAGCATGTCCCAGGAAAGTCCGGAAGGTTCCAGCCCAACCAAATGTTTGCAACAGAAACCACAGCCGACCGGTAGTGGTCTGAAACAGGCCAAGCCAAGCCAGGCGAAGCCAGGCCAAGTCCTATATTTAGCTGCTACAGTGCAGGGGCTCATCACTCGTTGAGTTGCGAGATGCAGAAGCACTGCCGCTGCTTGTGCGTTTGGGCACTGTGTGGCCAAAGAAGAAGAGGGCACTTGTGAGATACTCCATAGCTAGGCTAGAGGTAGCGCAGGAGGTGGGCGGCCGTAGCCGCCAAGGTGGAGCTTACCTGAGTGGGTTCATCCAGGATGACGATCTAGGTTAGAGAGAGAGGGAATGAGGCAGAGCAAGTCAAGTCAGAGAGAGAACCAAGATGAAGAGAAAGAGAGAGAAGAGAGAGAAGAGAGAGAAGAGAGGGAAGCCATATCCGTCACCTGATTGAATTCCGTGGTGTGTGTGTGTGTGTGCGGCAGAGCCGCTGAAGACGAACATTCTTGTATATTGATAATAATATTGGAGTCAACATCTTCAAGTGTTGATTGTATCTCGATTTGGCTTCTCGCGTGTGAACTCTCATGTGAATGTTCATTGATGCATGTGAGCTTGAACTTGACGAGTACTTCCCAGAGTTCAACATCTTCAAGCCATTGATGTATGTGAGCTTCAACTGTCAATTCCCAGGTAGAAATATGACTGAAATTACTGAACAGAGAAGACAAGGAGACTAGGAATGCAGAATACAGATACACAACATGTTGGGAATTGGAGCTTTCAGGGCATAGAAGGCGATTCATTGCTGGCTAAACATTTCATCCATTCAGATTACCATCAACTGCAGCAGCCAAAAATGGCTTGAAAACTGGCAATTTTTCAAATTTGTGTGAGTTCACCCTGTAAACGGTCAGGTGAGGAGATATAGAAGGGGGGACCCAGAGTTTGTGCACCCCTGAGGACCTAGAGAACCTTTCGCACGCACGTGCTGGTTGCTTGTAGCAGCAGGCCCAAAAATGAGTGATTGGGCTAGGAAGGAAGAGACAAAAACTGTGGAGGTTTCTGGAACCTGCCTGGAAGGCAGAGACGACGGTAGACACCTGATCGTGAAAATCAGGCGCCTCAAAAAATGCTGCACTGATATTCGAACAGGAGAGCCAGTTGTTGCCGGTGGCAAGGGAGGAAGGCACCACCAGATCCAGGACATTGAGTCCCTTATTTTTCTTTGCCGGCTGAAGAAAGAAGTGTGAACCCCCACACAGCTGAGGCAGGCAAACCAAATCTGTGAGTGAGGCAGCAAAAGGATAATTTTGGACACAGACAAAAAGGAAGAAGACCGAGTCCACCGTCGGTAAAGAGACGATTCGCTTGCCCCCTTCGCATGGATGACACACGAATTGACAAAAAAAAAGGAAGGAGAGGAAATAAAAAGTTAAAAAAGACTAGTGCAAGATCAACTAACAAGTCACTCTTTCAGCTTCAACAAGCAGTCGGTCCCTGTCCCTCTTGGAACAAGCTGCAAGTCTGTGAGCATGGCATTGACTTTTGGACACGCACACACAAACATATGCACGCATGCGCGCACACAGACACACACACAAGACTGAATGCAAGGTCCCTTGGGACATCCATTACAACCGGAATGATCCAGAGAAAAAGATGCACACAGCCCCTTTGCATGAATAGGGCGCACGAATTGTGATATAGAAAAAAGAAAAGGGAAAAATATCAAAAATGTATATAAAAAGACCAAGCGCAAGGTCAACTGAGAGGTCACCGTTAACTTCAACAAGTAGTCGGTCCCTGTTCCTCTTGGAACCAGCTGCAGTGCAACCAACATCAGCATGGAGGTCAGACTGAACATGCCGAAAGCCCACACGCAGTTGTCGAAGCAACTCCATTTCGGCATGTGCTTCTTGTTCTTCTTCTTTGCCTCATCTGATCCTGAAACAGGAGACAACTCACTGCTGGGCTTGTTCGATGACATCTGAGTGACCTTCACCGAGGACTTCAGGTGCAGCACAGGAGCTTTCAGTGAGCCTTCAGCCTCAGACTGCGGAACTGAAATCGTTTCTCCGAGGGAGTGTTTACTCCCCGCTCCTGTTGCCCCTCCTGCAGATTCATCCTCTTCGTGTGTTGCTGGCCTGCTTCCTTCCCCTCGCCAACGCAAACTCGTCATCCGCCTTCCACCAAATGACAAAGCCCTGCAAAGTATATGCATGATCCGGTCTTGCGACCTCATTCAAGTAAGGTCCTGTCTTCCACATGTACACTCTAATGATCAATCATAAACTCATCAATGGCCAACTGAGAGCCGGTCGACTGATTGTCATTCTAGATCTTAGATAGCAAACGAATGATCACACACACACACACACACACACACACACACACACACACACACACACACACACACACTCCTGATGAGTCGGTGAAAGTCCGACAAAACAGTATGGGAGAGTTAAATGTATTTTTTTNGTCGGTGAAAGTCCGACAAAACAGTATGGGAGAGTTAAATGTATTTTTTTGGAGTTGTGTACAGCGAACACACACACACACACACACACACACACACAGAGGCACACACACACACACATTTACACACACATTTGTTATAGGTGAGGGAGAAGGCACTGTGGGAGCCCTGATAATTAATTGACTCAAAAAATGAGCGGAGACTTGGAAACACTGGAAGGGAAAGGTTGTGGTTGGTGTTTCTCAAGACTAACAGCTTCCCCCAAGTAGAACACAAGGATGCTGTATCAACATTGGGAGTTGCCCCAAATGTACAGCTATAATGACTGTGCGTTCTGTTTGGAGGAGACACTTGTCCACTTCTCTTGGGCCCATTTCCCCCCCCTTTCTTTTGCGCCTTTCAGCATCATCCACTGCAAACGACACATGTGATCAGCTGAGAAGAAACTAACAACCATCCCTGTATCGTACATCAATCAACGCAGAAAGCATAATGCTTCAGCCTGTTTGCGTTGTGTACTACCGGCTTACCCCGAATGTAACACACCCTCATCATGACAGTACCCAATCGGAAAGATAGGCAGTATACATTCATGATCAGAGCGCGTTGTGTACGATTTTTGCACCTGATTTGTCAGACACCTGTAAATATGTTCCAAGAGTAGTCACACTCTTTGAGACTTTTTCTTTACTACAGTGCTAAGGGAAAAGAAGTTTTAGCATTATATAAGCAGCTATTGCCCTCTCTTCTGTCTCTGCTCTCTCTCAGCCCTCCACTCGATCAATCGTGCTGTAAACCCGGCCGCTAAAAACAACAATCCTAGGAGAAAAGAAAACATCATAACGATATAATAATGCAACGAACCGGGAGAGAGGCTTCGGAGAGCTTCAGCACAAGCAAGGCACAACAGCCATCACCACCACCAGGTCATGCCTTGGATTTGCACGAGTCAGAGCAAGACAACAAGCACCAATGCTGCCTGACAAACAGACCGACTGCAATGGAAAGATAGTTGTGGTTGAAAACGTGGCTTTAATGACACTGTTTTGACATTCTGACAGTCTCATGAGTCGGACCTCACTTGTTATGTGCCTGATTGAAATGAGATACAGCATGGAATCCACACGTTCCCGTACACATGCGCAACGACAAGAGATCTTGGAGAGAGCAATTCACACCACACCGGTTGAGAGAATACACAGCGGAAGCCCTTTACAACCAAAAATAGAATTGAAATTAACTGAGTACGGATCCGGGCCGCCCGGCCGACCAGCGCTTGCCCAGGGGAGGTCCCGGGTGGCCTGCCGGGCGGGCGGCCCAGTTGGGGGCCGGGCACCCCCAGCACACCTTGTTGGCGGGGGGATTCCGACCCCGAATCGCCAAGATTTGGCCTCCCCAGGGCCTACCGGGTCCGACCACGCCCAGAAAACGGCGCGTCGGGCCCGTGAGGCCTGTTTTTTTTTTTGAATTTTTGACGGCCCTCCGGCCGTCGATCATCCATGATCGACGGCCAGAGGGCCGTTTGTTTTTTTGGAGGGAAAACCAAGGCCCTGTTTGAACAATCGACTGGCTGGGGCGGCCTGCATCGGCTGTCCAAACAGGGCCCCTTCTCCAGCCGCCTGTGTTCGTCGTTGAGCCGCCCTCGCTCCTCGCGCTGCCCGTTGTCGCCATCGCCTGGGAGCTGCACTCGCCCGCCGTCGTGGAGTCGTCCGTTGCCCGTCGCCAGCGTCGTGGAGTCGCCCATCGCCCGTCGCCAGCGTCGTGGAGTCGCCCGTCGCTCGCCCCCCTCTCATCTTCTTCTTCTTCTTCTTCTTCTTCTTCTTCTTCCTCTTCTTCTTCTTCTCTCCTCCTCCTCCTCTTCCGACCATCTTCATTTTCTTCTTTTTTCTGTTGTTCCATTCGTCAGCGATAGGTCGCGTGATAAACGACAGGTAAGGAAAAAAAAAAAAAAACTGCTCCGCTCGTCATCTTCTTCTTCTTCTCTCCTCCTCCGCCTCCCCCTCATCTTCTTC